GCTGCCCAGTATGCTCAGCAAATGCAGAACATGCAGGGCAACCAGATGCGCCAATTCCCACCGCAGATGCAGGCACAATTGCAGCAAATGATTCGTATGAACCAAATGAATAATGGTCAAATGGGCAACAGTCCTATGCAACGCCAAGTCAGTGAGCAGATGATGAATGGAAACAACAACATCCAAGCTTTTCAGGCAATGCAGCAGCAGCAGCAGCAGCAGGTGCAACAACAGCAACAGCAGGCGCAACAACAGCAAGCGCAACAACAACAGCAGCAGCACCCTCAACACCAAATGGGGCAAATGGGTGCTATGGGCCAGCAAGGAGCCCTTCAGCTCCAAATACAGGCCCAGGCTAGATCCATATATCAACGAATGGTCCAATCCGCAGCGGTCAAGCACGGCGGAACGGATAAAATCCCGCAGGAGCTGTTCAACAAGATGAAGACCGCTAGTATGGGTCAAGCTTCAACAATAGTATCGCAGCATATGCACCGCAGGCAACAGCAGCATAACATGCAACAGCAGCATAATATGCAGCAGCAAATCCAGCAGCAACAAATCCAGCAGATGCAACAGCAGCAGATGCAACAGCAGATGCAGCAGCAACAAATGCAACAACAACATTTGCAGCAGCAGCATAATATGCAACAGATGCAAGGGATGAATGGCATGATGGGCGGCCCTCAGGGGATGTGATGTTTTGACCAGGATTTGAAAGGGAGTTGAACGATGGGAAGAGTCTATGTTATGGCAGACAACAGGGACAGGTTTGGTGACCACGGAGTTCAGGATGATCCAGGATTGTTCTTATTTGTCTTTCTTTTTCATGTTTACGAGTTTGGGCAGACTTATACCCCACGGAAAGCGTTCATATCAGGTCAAGGGATTCTTGTCAACTGCTTATAGTTATGGTCTTTTATTATTGGATAATATAAAGATAGGTATCTCGGCCGTACGTGTGTTATCACAGGCACGTATCAGCAGGGACTGGAGTAGTAAAAGAGTCGTTCAAGATCATCTTCTAAAGTGTACACGTGCTTGATAGCTAACTCGTATTGGGTGAACCTAGAGAAGAATTTGTGTTCTCGCTACATTTGTAACTATCCAAAATACCTACCTACCTACGCTGCAGAGGATTGATGTTCTGGGTGGCTTGTGCTGGCTGTCACGTGCATCGCAGTTTGCGACGCGGAATGACACAACCGCCAAGACACCAGGAGCTTCATTAGTAGGTACCTAGTTTACCTCATCCAATCGTTGACGCTACCTACGTAAATCCGCGATACAGTAGCTCAAGACAACGTGACCATTTCATCACGCAGCTTCTGCTACAAGACACGCGCAAGAGAATACATTCGGCTGAGCCCTTTCGTTCGTTCAAGTACAGCGGCCACGTTTCAACAGTTTCTTCTTCTTTCCATCCGCAACCCCGTCCTTCCGGTATCATCGTATAACGTCTCTCCCTATCTCGACTTCCGTGCTCTTCTGTCAAGGGCTTTACAATGCATCGACCGGATCTGTTGGCATTTTTACTGCCCCTGTTGGCTGCGCCGGTATTTGCAGCAGAGACTCTCGACTGTGGAAAGATTCGCGCCGATGGACATACATTTGATCTTTCCAAGCTTGGTGGGCCGCATTCAGTTGTGACGACGCGATACAGGCCCAACCCACCCGAACACTATAACACAACCTATACATTGGACATTTGCAAGCCGTTGAAGAAGAGCGGAGGCAAGAAGTCGCCAGAATGTCCGAACGGCACCCGGGGTGCGTGAAGACTCTATTACGATTACAAAGCTTTACTGACAAGCTCTAGTTTGCGCCATTACACACCTTCTCAAGACTGACGAAGACAAGAAAGAGACCGATGAGGTTACGAACGTCGTTGCGATCGCGGGAAACCTCGAGAACGCCGGTGGTTCTCGATTCGAATGGACTCCTACGAGACTTAGCACGGCCGAGTCGAACTCTGATAAGAAGAAGGAGGGTTTGCGCCTTGTTCTCATGGGAGGAAAGGATCCTTTGTCCGGCCCTTCCAAGGAGAGGACCGACCAAAAGGCCATTGTTGAATTCCTCTGCGATCCTGAGAAGGAGGGAACAGAAGGCGAGTGGGTCTCCGAGGAGAAGTACGAGAAGCGAGCGGACGAAAAGAAAGACGACGATAAGAAGGAAGACGACGACAAGGACGAGGGCGAGTCTACTCTTGAACATCAGCTCAAGCATGACAATGCCTCGCTTGTCTGGGATGGCTTTGAAAGCGAGAAGAGTGCCAGAACTCTGCGCTTGACATGGTACACCAAATATGCTTGCGAAAAGCGAGAGGAGAACGGCGGTGGTGGCAGCGATGATGATGGGGAGAGCACCAGTTCCCACTGGGGATTCTTCACTTGGTTCACCGTCATGTGAGTACATCCATTTTTTGACTTATGCAGCGTTTTCTAACGTACCTATCTAGTGCTTTCCTGCTTATTGCTGGTTACCTTATTTTCTCGTCCTGGATCAACTTCACTCGCTACGGCGCACGAGGATGGGATCTTCTTCCCCACAGCGACACTATCCGCGACATCCCTTACCTGCTTAAAGACTGGATCCGCCGAGTCCTGAACACTGTTCAAGGTACAGGCAGCCGGGGTGGGTACAGTGCAGTTTAGAGCAGGTTAAGAAGTTGGCTTTGCTTTTTTAACATTTGAAGTGGAATATCAGACTTTACAAGGTCTGTTTGTGCGCGAGGGGCTATGTTATGGCGCTTATGCTAGCAATTCATTTTTAGCTGGTTTGTATACATAGGTTGGGATTTCCGGTCTTCGGGTCTCGTATCATGGAATCGAGTGTTTAGAGCAAGATGCGAACATGCAGTGTTAAGGAGTCAGCGTTGGGCAGGTTAATGCGATATTCATACAGCTGCGTCCTTCTGTCTGCGTCGCGACAGTTGCCAAATTTATCATGACTCTATGTTAACGAATAGATCTGGCCCTTTGTCATGATCTGACTTTAACTAGTAGTCTGCGCCGAGTAGTTTCTGTGAGTCAGTAGAAAGAATACAGCAGTCAGTCGAAGATCGGGAAGAATGGATGATTGTATTGCACAGGGCGTGCCTTAGAAGACTTGAACTCACTAACAGGGATCAGAGAAAGACACTGCATCATGATTCCATAGCCTGACTCAATAGTTTCCCCATAATCAAGACCCTTCCTTGTCATGGCGGCTCGAGTGGTTCCAATGTGAGTAACTTGTCCCAAATAAAGTTGCTAGCGTCATAAAATGGTCTGCGATAGCGGAGGCGATTGATAAGATAAAGCCACAAATATTCTCTCGTCTTGTTGAACCCCTCCACCAATACAACAATTCCTGCATATCTTCTTTCTTCCTCCTCCATTTGTCTTTTTTTATTTATAGCATTCGATCACTCATAATCGCAATGGCTATGCGACTTCCCCTCCGAGCTCGATTGGCCAGCTCCTGCGCCATCGCCCGTCCTCGGATCGTTCGCCGAGGTCTTGCTTCGCTGCCAAATGCCGACGTCGCGGCCGACTCCAAGAGCGCTGTCATTGTGAACGAGCATGCGCCTTATATGGTCGCTACATATGCTCGACCCCCGCCTGTGTTTGTCAAGGGAAAGGGTTCATGGCTTTGGGATGCTGAGGATCGCAAGTTTCTTGATTTCACTGCCGGGATCGCCGTCAATGGTCTGGGCCACTGCGATCCTGAGTTTACTCGTATCATGACTGAGCAGGTAAGTCGATTTACGAACTCTGCTGTCCATGACTATCACTAACATGAAAACTTACAGGCCGAGACCCTCGTTCACGCTTCTAACCTCTACTACAACCCATGGACCGGCGCCCTGTCCAAGCTCCTCATCGAAAAGACTCTCGAGTCTGGCGCTATGCACAACGCCTCCTCAGTATTCGTCTGCAACTCCGGATCTGAAGCTAACGAAGCCGCTATCAAGTTCGCCCGCAAGGCCGGTAAAATCGTTGACCCCTCCGGCGAAAAGGTCGAGATTGTCTCCTTCAACAACGGTTTCCACGGCCGAACCATGGGCAGCTTGTCCGCGACCCCGAACCCAAAATACCAGAAGCCTTTCTCGCCCATGGTCCCTGGCTTCAAGACTGGTGATTACAACGACGTTGCAGGAATCAATGCGCTGGTCACTGAGAAGACGTGCGGTGTGATCGTCGAGCCTATTCAGGGTGAGGGTGGTGTTACTCCTGCGTCCGAGGAATTCCTCGTTGCACTCGCTAAGCGATGCCATGAAGTTGGTGCTGTTCTGATCTACGATGAGATTCAGGCCGGCCTCGGACGAACAGGTACATTCTGGGCTCACGGAAATCTGCCCAAGGAGGCTCACCCCGATATCCTCACCACAGCCAAGGCTCTCGGAAATGGCTTCCCCATCGGCGCTGTCCTCGTAACACAGGATGTCGCTGATAAGATGAAGGTCGGCGACCACGGTACCACCTTCGGTGGAAACCCTCTTGCCTGTCGCCTGGCACACTACATTGTCGGTCGTCTTGCCGATAAGCAACTCCAGGCCGACGTTGTCGCCAAGTCAGAAATCTTCAAGCAGCGCTTCGCCAAGCTACAAAGCCAATACCCCGACCTTGTCCAGGAGGTCCGTGGTCGAGGTTTGATTCTCGGTCTGCAACTATCCCAGGATCCTTCACCTATTGTCAAGGCTGCTCGTGAACGTGGTCTGCTTATCATCACTGCTGGTGTCAACACATTGCGATTTGTGCCCAGCTTGACTGTGACCGAGGCTGAGATCAACCAAGGACTGGATATTTTGGAGACTGCTATCGCTTCTACTCGATAAAGAGTGTGTATACTAACTCGTGGGGTTATATGGTGTTCATGGTTACAGGGCTAAAAGTAGATTTATGATGTAGAGAGCGGAGCTAGATAAAAGACTAGATACCATATACTGATTTATGTTTTACATCGGGTTCATCTTCTTATATCCATATACCAGGGCAACGTTACTAAAATAAACTCAACCCAAACTGGTGTGAATGGAAACACAGCCGGGTATCACTCGCTTCACGCGTGCCCTTTGGGGGGCGGCAGTTCCTGGTTCGAGCCCAGGGTTTGGGAGTACCTTTTCTTTTATTGACCTGATTCCAATTTAAGGTTTATGGCTGATCATGATGCGGAACTGTGGCCTGGTGCCCTATCAAACCTTGGAGACTGTTCACTTTGCTGTCGACAGAATGTGTATTTATGCTAAGTGTGGTGGGCAAAACAACAACTGAATAGTCCACTATATACCAGTTAGTACCTAGGGTGCGATAAGCTTGTACGTGGCCATTCCCAGTACCGCAGTTATCAAAGATGAGGTGAAAGCTTTCTTATATAGGTAGTCTTGTTCAAAATCATTACATGGCTCATATACACAATACGCCCCATGATGCGCTCAACGCCAAAGCCCTAGCAAATGCTACCCCTTCTATGGTACCCTAGCAAATAGCATGTGTCTTTCCATGCTTGCCTTGGAGAGAATGTTGTTCGTCCTGGAAACTGTTAGTTACAGAACATACACTATGCAGGGTGTTGGTAACTCACCTTATAAACAGGATGGGCATGCTTTCCACGCCCCATGGCAGAAATGTGGTTTCTGATATACTCTTCACGCTTCTTAATCGACTCCTGATCCGTTTCCTTAAGAAGACCGTGACACAGCTTGACATCACAGATAAGCTGATCACATCGACTCTTTGTGAAATCCTCTCGCACGACAACACGCAGCATCTTGACGCCAGAGTTGGGAGCCATGGTGTAAGCAGGGACGACCCAACCTCGAGAGCGCAGGTGGTGAGCAAGAGCAAACTCGTCGTAGTAACGATCAGGGTCGCCGCCTTCTTCAATGGTCTTGAAGCGGAAAGCTACGAGAGGGAGACCGGCACCTGAACGTTCCGACATGATGACGAAGCCGAGGTTTTCGAGAGTTTCTGTCAGGTAGTCTGCTGTACGGGTGAGGTTACTCATGATCGCGCGGTACCCGTGCTTGCCGAGACGGATGAGCTGGTAATATTGGCCGATGACTTGCGATGCACCCTTGGAAAAGTTAAGGGTGAATGATGATTGGTCGGCGCCGAGGTAGTTGATGTTGAAGACGAGCTCTTGAGGGAGATACTCTGGAGATCGCCAGATGACCCAGCCAACACCGGGGTAGACAAGACCGTACTTGTGGCCTGAGACGTTGATAGAAACAACTTTTTCACATCGGAAGTCCCACTCCAAGTCAGGAACGACAAAAGGAGCTACGAAACCACCACTGGCAGCATCGACGTGGATGGGGACATCAAGGTTGCGCTCAACGAGAAGATCGTTAATGGCCTTGATATCCTCATACTCACCAGTGTAAGTTGTTCCAAGAATAGTGCACATACCAATGGTGTTCTCATCGCAAAGATCAACAGCCTCATCAGGATCCATTACAAACCTGTCAGGTGTGCAGTAAACAAGCTTCTCGTCAATCTCAAAGTATCGAGTAGCCTTTTCCCAACACACCTGGACAGCTGAGGACATGACGATGTTGGGATGTTCTGTGCTCTTGCCTTCAGCTTGTCTACGGTTCTTCCAGCGCTTTTTCATGGCTAGGACAGCAAGCATGATGGCTTCTGATGAGCCGACGGTGGATGTACCGACTGAAGAACCAGGAGGTGCATGGAACAGATCGCCGATCATGTTAACGCAGCGGTTCTGGATATCGGCGGACTGAGGATACTCCTCGTAATCGATAAAGTTCTTGGAGAAGGACTCTGCCATGAGCTTCTCGGCTTCATCTTCCTAAAACGGGTGTTAGTGAAGCTATTCAGAAATGTTATAGTGGGGTAGTTCTGTGCATGGGTTGGTGTTGTAGCGCCTGTCATCCCCAGTAAAGCCAAGAAATGTTTCCGTCTCCGCCGTGAGCGGGGGTAAGATCGATGACATTCTTGGCACGAAATGAACTTGGCCGGAACCAGAAAAGTTCATGATGTAGTTTTAGTTTACGTACCATGTAAGTCGTGACGAAAGAAGCCAGACTGTAAATAGCAATTAGCTATTGTTTTCGCGTCATAGTTCGTCTATCAGAGTAAACAAGAACTTACTTGAGCATGGGGTTGTTGTCGAGACTCAGATCATCCTTGATCATGCGATAAGCAACCTCGCGAGGCATTTCACCCTCAGGCATATGATGTCGAGGAAGATCCATGCCCGCAAAGCGAGAGCCATAGACACTAGTGGTGAACTCATCTGGGTAGCTGGCCAGCTTCATCTGAGGCTTCTTGGATGTCCGAGAGCTCGATGAACGGACAGAGGCAGCGTCAGAGTCATCTCCGCGATGAGCACCGCCGACAACAGAAAGATGAGCCATGTCGTCTACAAGAGAAGAAGAAGGGGCAGTTTTTGAGGGGAAATATCCGTTTGTTGTAGTCGAGTTTCCTTGATCGTCTGTCTCAATGATGGGAACAGGCGAAGCAGCCTCACTTTCAGAATGCTGAACGAGACTCATGATGAATGAGGGGTAGAAGAAGCTCTTATAAGAACAACAATAGCTTGGTAAACACCAGGAAGGTTTAACTTGATGCGATAGGCCAAAAAGGGGATACGGGAGCAGCCGGTTTGGTGTGTATTGTATTGGATTGGATTGTTTTTGTGGCGCGTTGAATAAGGATGCTAAGATAAATGGATGGCTTGTCTAGTTGGTTGAGTCTTTTGGTAATGACGGCACGCCGCAGGTAGCTAGTGCTTTCAAGAGTTCAGTGGAGGGGTAGAACGGAAAGGTCGGCAATAGACGAGAAAGGACGTGTAATACACGATGTGATGTGATGTGAGAGACAGACACAAGAATATGTGTCTTTGAGTATAAGTCAAGAGAAGAGTAGAGTTGAGTTGAGTAGATAGTAACAAGGATACGAATGAGATCAAGAGGAAATCAAGACGGATTACAATGCAGAAGCCACCGACTTTTTAAATGATTCCCTCACAAAAAAGATTGAATAAATAAATGCCTCCAAAATAGGAGCATGGAAATTCGGCACGGGGGTGCATAACAGATCCATTTCATTGATGAGGCCCCTAAAGAAGCGGTACCATTATTACCTGAATCTTCCAATTGTAAGAGCTCAACTCAGAGCTTGGGGGGGAAAGCACAGCCCTGTTCCTTACCTATTCCATCCGATAAAACGTATTGTACTGTACAATATCGCTGAATACCCGCGCAAAAGATACTTGATAGCTACCAGTTAAACAATCCCGTTTACATCCGTCTTGATCATGCGCTATTGGATTATTGTTTGTCTGTGCTTTTGATGACGATCTGTCCCTTGTCTCTTCGGTGATACCAGGGAGCTTTTGCTTGACTTACACCGACAGACCTACCATTCTGTCTCTAGCATTGGTTCTTTTGTATATCCCTCATATATTCATTTGTCCAGTAGTTTGACTACGGGCGGCCTCACGTTTGACTGGAAAAGGAAATGAGTGGTAATATTCGTCTTCACTGAGTACAGTAACAAAACCCGCAACTTTGGGTTCAGGTCAAGTCAGGGCCAGGTCAGCTCACCTTGCGCGCGTTCAAAATGACCCCCTTTTTACTCAATCGGGCAACTCGGTCAGGTACTGTACATGTCATGAAGCAACATGTGGTTAAGGCTCAACTCAACATTGGGGTTTGGGTCAAGAGCATCTGATGTTTTTGTAAAAGGGGTAGAATGTTCAATAGTTAGGCTGCGCTCTTTTCGTGCTTGAGATGAAGCAATCGTATCAGAAGACCCTTGTTACTTTGGGGTGCAGCTACGGGAATGTGATCCTATTTGCTAGATCTGTCTGTAACCATGTACGGTACCTTAAACGTTGCATGCTTATGATGGCATTTCCCCAGGTAAAGTCGGTGTGTCTGTTTGCCATAGATAGTATCGCCTCAAGTGCCCTTCTATTGTATTCTCTGGATGAAGCATCTTGATCATCTAGACGCCTGAACCCCCAAAGTTTGACTCTGTGGGCACATTCATGTCTTACGTCTCATGTTGTTTTGTATTATACCCCCATTCTATGGTCATGTCTGGACCTCGATGCTTCGTCAATCATCTGTATGCTGCAAATCAAGCTATCCTTGCTCTCGGGCATCAACGAGGTAGCCCCGGGATCATCGGGTAAATTCACTAGAGACAAATTGCTCTAGACTTTCCTTTCAGGCCTTTCCACTGAAACAAATTTGCTATTTACAGGGCTGAGTAGGCAAGGTCAGACGGCAGGCCGGACAACATGCGCGGCCCAATCACGGAGGTTGCCGGCCGGGACATCGGCCTCTAGACCCACAACCCCGGCCGTCTTCCGTATTAATGACCTATCCCATTAATTATACCAACTATTGTACAAATACCTGGGATCAACAATTCCCTCCTCAAACACCACGTATATCATAAATACCAGCTCTCCAGCCTTGACTATTCCTAACATCCCTGCGATTTCTCTCTTCGTGAGGTGATGGCCCGATCCAAGTGGCGTGTCATCCTCCCTCAGCCCAGTCAAGGCTCCCCAGACTGAAAGACCTCAAGGATCCAATCGGCCCAACTCCCGCTTATTTTTCCCATTGCGAGTTGCGTGTTTTACTCACCGAGAAACTGACGCAAATACGGTCCGTCCGCCCCCTTTTTATGCCCTGTTGGTCTTTATTCCCGGAATCTAGTAGGTCTAGATGCTTCAAAGCCTTTTACTCTCGGTCGCTGTCCGTAACAGCGGCTTGATGGATATTTTTGAATTATGCCTTCGCCTTTTATGACGAGTTCGTGAGGCTACTGTGAAACGTTGGTCAGCATGATCGATCATGCATGAATAAAGCTGCAACAATATGAATAGTGAATGACTATGCATTTATCTTACTAACAGATGCTGGTATTCTCATTACCCACTGCCAAAACCTACAGTATGAACTACCCTGGTTCAAAGCGCGATGATCCGTCGGGTTGGGACAGGATCCGCTCGATCAAGTCTTGGCTGCTTCCTTTATTCTCAGAAACGTTCTAGAAGCTTGACATTTAGCAGTGTTTGTCTCGCACATGTATGAATTGAAGTTACCAGTTTCTAATAAGGGTGTCCTTGTTATCTAC